AGGTAAAATCAGCCAGCCAGCCAACTAACACAAGGATAATTTAATTTTACCTTTTTTTAAGCAACTGGAAATGTTTTCTTCCTACAATCTACTGACATATATGAATTATTTGAAATTGTATATTATGAATTAGTAATTGGTAAGGCATATGATTATTATGCTAAGTTTATTTCATTGCTGTTCACCTCTAAATAATATTTTAATCCACGTTTCATGTTAATTTAATTTTAACCGAATATCAAACACATGGAAATCTTATGTAACTTCCTTCAACACTATTTGGAGCCACAAATATATGAAAAATTAACACTGAAATACTCTCACAAGGAAGCACAAATATGTAGGATTTGAGGTTCTCACGGCAGTGAATATGAAGCTGGGTGATGAGTAAGCTCATTACTAATTGCATTGATGATGGAGGCAGCAAGGACCTCTGAAATGTTACAAAACTTTTATCAAATGATATGGCACTACAACCCACTAGACAGCCATCTTCAAGCACAAATATGTTGCAATAGTGTATTTGTGCTATACCAAAACATCTGAAAGGTGGGTATGAACAATCTGGATATCCCAGACATGAAATCAACTGCAATTAACTTGTAGATATGTTTTGTGGAGAGGAAAATATCACAGCTGTTGCATTTTAACAGCCTTTTTCTTCCCCTAATCTCAAAAACTTAACCGCAAAAAACATACAGTTATAACAAGAAGTCTTTTAAGACTACCTCCTGATAGTTTGTGGGAAATGAAATGGCAACTCACAGCAGAGTCTTCACATAATCTAAACTTTCAAAGTATTAAGTCCTGAAACAAAACTTTTCATCACAGTTAAAAAACCCAATATCAAGGACTGATGACCAAACAAAAATTATGTAATTAGAAAGTAAAGTAATGCATTTGTAATGTTCCATAATCAAACTCTTAATAATACTAAAATCTGTTAGAAACATTAAGAATGTAGGAAGACTGAACATTAGAAGAAATGCAAGTTATTAGGATATCCACAAATACTATACAGAAGTTACATAAAACATGGTTTATATCTGAAACCACATCAGCATTTTCTTCTCCTAAAATGTAGAAACTGAAACTTATGCATTAATAATACAGAAACTGCTTGAGATAGTCATATAACCAATTATGATAGTCTCTTTCAAAGCAGTAACTGTCAATGAATGACTGCCAGGGTATACACAAAAGAATGGTGCAACTGTGACTGGCGACTCATTTTTGAACATGTTGGAAAGTTGGTTGTTACCCCAACAGAATACCAATTATGACGATTACATTCTACAACTGGATGGAGTTCCCCCCCATTTTCACAGGAATGTAGGAGTGCTTCTCAATCGTGTTTTTCCACAGCGCTGGATGGGATGAGTTTGATTACCGTGTGGATGTGTGTCGTGTGACCCAGGGTGCACACATTGAAGGATTGTAATTAACGCATGAGAAACTTGGACAGTTGTCGCCGCTGACGGTGTATGTTGTGCCCGTGTAAGGTGAGAAATAAATTTTTAATTAACTTTTGAAACCACACCATTCTTTTGTGTATACCCTGGGGCATAGTACTACAGAATAGAGTTTCATGACTAATTTCAAAAGTGGTCATAGTATAGAACTTTATCTATATTGTTAAAAAAACTCAGTGCTGAGGCCAGGGCTACAAACATAACTAGAAGGCTTAAAGGATACTTCCCCCCCCTCACTTACAAATGAAATTACCATGTTTATTAGCAAACTCATAAAACTAAGAAACAAAATATGTGCAACTGTAAAAACAATACTGATCTCTCACATTCAGTCCACACACAATAAACATTAAGATACAATGATATGGTATAATACTGAAAATACTCAAACCACAGGTCACTAAAATACATGTTTACACATAAAGATTCAAAATCATTTACATACTTCACTGGACACAAGTCTCCATACAATTAAACAAAGTTAACTATTATATACGTAACATTCCCCATAAATTTAGTATATAGAAAATGTACCAGAAATACGTCATAACTTACAAGATGAATTTTGTGGTCCAAAACAAACAAAAACATCCGGTACTGCTC